ACTTAAGCTTCCTGCATCAGCAATACTAGACTCTCCTGACAGTGATGAACCCCATTCTCATTCAGATTTTCTTCCCAGAATAACCACAACACAACCACTGATCCCAACTGACTTATCCAAGACTTCTATAAGATGCCTTTCCTGTTTGGGCTGATGAAACCACATCATAAAAACCAAAGTTGCATAGGTTTAGAGAGAAGAATATACTTTACCTTCATTGTCATAGGTAATTTTATTTGATAAGATCTCTAAAACAAAACTCCAATGAGTTCAAGGTAGTCCTTACAAACTACTTTTCTCCAACTGTTTCATAAGACTTCCAGTTACTTTCCATTACACCTATATATCCACAGGGGTCACTACATTTCACATCACAAGTAATAAAGCAAGTATGTTTAAAAAAAACAAAGCTGTGTACAAGTGCTTATTCAGTGGTTGTACAGAAAGCAGAGAAGAATTTTGTAGTTCCTCCATGCCCAGAATTGCTGAAGCCCAAATAAGACTGCTCATCTACCTTCAGATGGTACCTTAAACCTCAAGTTTTGAATATCAGTACAGCTCAGTTTGTTGTAAGGGTCTCCATCTCTCCTGTGGCGCACCAAGAAAGGTAGAAGTCTTCATGCTGCAGTTCTGGCCTGTGTTGCTATCTAAAGTAATGGAGATACATGAAGATTTGTCAGACACTGATCCCACAGAATTTTACATTCTTATTACTGCTGGCAGTCTAACAAAAGCCAGGTGGTAAGCAAAAAGACAACACGCATTAACTCACTTGACGTTTCCAAGTAATTTCGTACTACCTTGGAAAAATTCCAAACATCATTAAATGCCTCACTTGGGTTTACTCACAGATAGTACCTTTGAAGGCAGATCACAGTTAAGCAGTACTTACAGACCAAATAACACTGGAACAAAGATTGCATTTTAATGGGAGTTCACTAATCCTTAAATAAAAACTGCATTAAGACAAACATTACTATTAGTGTCTGTTACGAAAGTAATCAGATACTGCAATTTACCACAGTATTAGGCTTTAGAAAACAGCTTCTGGAAGACACATTTCTTGGTCTTCCCAATTCTCTCTAAACATGAATAAGTACCTTTCAATATTTATACGCAAAAATCTCAGAAAGTTAAGAAATACCACTGACCACAGAAACATAAAATTAGAATGTCACTTTTTCATGTTTGCTGAACGTGGAGTTCATGGAGCATTCTATGAGTGCTCCCAAGTTAAAATTCAAGCTTTATGTTCTCATGGGGAAAGAAAAAAAAAGTATACTACCATTCATCACAATAATCTGTAAGACAGTATTACCTGATAATAAAAAATGAATGGGAGAAAATACTCATTTTAGCACAACATACACAAAGGCACAGATGCTTACAGATAACTAATATGTTACCTGAATAAATGCATTCTACATTAAGATAATTTTAATCTTACCTACTTACACATAATTAAATGCAGTATTTTGATCATCCTTTGTCAAGGCAGTTACTTTCCCCAGCCTAGGAGTGACAACTCCTACATTTGGTAAAATTTAATTTCTTTCTCCATCTAAGTCTTGAGGAAAACTATCTGATGTAGAAAACCTGAATGTTTTTAAAAGTGTAAGGCAATTTCCTTGGCACTTTTACATAAAAACAAAACCAAAATCCAACTCCTGACAGAAAAACTACTTGTTGAATCTGGTATGGGCCACTAAAATACTTAATTATGCACATTCAACTGTTGATCATCCTGCCAATATTGTGCCTTTGACGTTTCAACAGACCAACATGCAGAGGTGATGGATAACTGTTCAGGACAGCAGAGCTGCAGCTTCAGGGAACAGAAAGGCAGCCGTGCATTCACCTTCCATCTTCCAGTGGCTGCGGTCCTCCATTTCTTATTTTACAACTGCAGCTAACTTCCTACACAAGAGAATCGCCTACTACTCAAGTAGTTCAAGGGGACCAAAATTAAGCAACTTCCAAACCCAAATCAGAGATGTTCACAGCTTTCTGCATGTAAAGTGTGTGCATATCCTCAACTTCTGGGTACAAAAAGATGAAAAACAAGTAGGAGAAAGAAGACACAATGCCACTGCACTCATATCCTCTCAGATAAAGGATGCTAACCTCCAAGGCAAGGTGGACTAGTACATACAGATGAAACAAAACATGCTCACACTCCTGAAAAGCCATGAAGGAGGAGTGCTCTAAAGAATATGCACATTAGAGCCCCCCGGTATTCACGACTACAGAAGAAAGATTAGAGTATCAATCTACTTAACATTTTTATCTCCGACTTTGGGGTGGGGTGGGGGGAGGCAAAACTTTGGGCAATGCTGAGACTTATAAAACCTTAATCTTAAAATGGTTTAGCAGATTAGCTGTAACCATTTCAGAACTCATTCAGACAACTTGATACAATGGCTGACCACAACTAATAATCAGTTCAGCTATGAACAGGAACTGGACTGCATGGTTTTGTTACTATTAACTGAAAGAACATTTTTTCTCCCTCACCTTGGACTGCTCAGAAAATCCCAGCAGTGAACTGTCAGAAGGCCAGGCTTCAAGAATTATAGTGCAGGTATGGCAAGTCAGTCCATCAGACTTTTTCCAGCAGCGGTGTCTGTCCCCTCCCCCCCAATATAATGTATGTTTAAATATAGCATTAATTGAAATAAATTTACCCTTTAATTACTAAATAAAGCCAACTTTAATAACTTCCAGTTTTGCACAGTGGAAAACTGAGAAGATGCTACAAAGAATCCCTGTAACAGGAAAACAACAACAAATGTTTGTAACAGAACCATCACATATCATGAGCAGAACCATCTACAAGTTTTAGAAAACCAGAAGGTAGAAGTCATGCATCAACTGCATCAAACTACAGTAACTTGAGAGAACAAAGAAACTATTATCTGGATGTTTCAAAAGCAATAGCTGAATAACTGGAAAATAAGACAAACTTACATCTCCTTGTGAAATCAAACTCAACAACCTTCACACTGTGTTCAAGCACTACAGGTTTCAAGAAAATCACCAAATTCCTGGAGAAGTATTCCCAAATGTAAAGGTGATATGGCTAACGAGATAAACTAGCAAACCCATAAACCTGCTTTAGTAGAAGGCCTGAAAAAACATTCTCTTTCAAGACTACTCGGAAGAGATTTCCACCCCACTCCCCCCGCCCCCCCAGACCACAAACCAGTTGTCTGTTCTGCTAATTTACAAGCAGACTTTAAGGGAAGTGGAACGTGAAAGCAAATTGATGGATTTCTTCATTTGGGCCACTCTGGAAATTGACGCATCAACAAATGTAAACCGCTGAAAGGAAAGCTGCAAAAGATTTAACATTGTGACTAAGAGCCTAAATAGCCCCTCCCCCACCTATATCTCATCCAAGGAAAACACAACAAACATTATCTTCCTAGAAATTCTAAATGAAACATGTAATACAGCTTTTCGTGTAAAACACAGACATGGATTACCACATATAATCAACCAAATAATAGCTATTTTTCTGTCATGCTGTCATTTCTCTTAAGAAGCCTAGTATTTATGCTAAGATTGAACGAATCCATTATAAAAGTGTTTAAAGACTTCAGCCATCCTCCTTCTTCCATGTGCGAGTGCCTGAATACCCACGCAGAGATACACCCAAGTTAGATTATGCTTCACTTAAAACTATTATTCACTGAAAGAAAATGAAAAGCCCCAACGCATTAGTGATATGCAAACATAACATCAGACACTAAACTAGCTAGAGCTCCCTTAAAGGTTATTGAAGCTATAAAATGACAATCTTAAAATAGCTGTTCAATAATCAGGGGCATTCCGTTATATAATTAATTAGTTGTGAACAGCTTTCACCATCTCTTAGCATTTTAAATAAACGATTCTTTGCCAGCAGTACCTAGTTACTGATAAACAAACAGTAGCTACTTGGCCTCTTTTGTAATGTCATTCTTCCTGAAAGTTTATAATTAATTAGCAGTCTAAAACAAAAGCACAGTGAGAGGAAGGGGACCATTTCTAGTCCTACCAAAACTGTTTTGAAGTTTTAAACGTGGAGACAGCTTCTCAAAGATAAGTTACATTTGAGGCTCAGGCTAACTTTAATACTCACCAAAGGGAAAAAAAATAACTAGGACACAATGTACTCTACACCACAAGCAGGGCTGGAGCCTCACTGGCTTGATAACCGCACCACATCCGCGCTCCAGCTCTGTGCTACTTGACTGCTGTTTAAATCAGTCGCGATGCCACAACAGCTTAAGCACAGCCTCTCCATACAACTTCCTCCACAACTGCGAAGTCTCCGCTAACTCCTGCTCCTCGCAGCCGCCGCTGCCGGTATCTGCAACCCCGGGAAGCTGCGGGACAGCACTGCCGCCCCGGGCCGGGATCTTTGTTCAGGCCAGCGCCGCGGCGGGAAGGTCCCTGCGGCCACCCCGCTCACGGACCACCGGGCAGGCAGGGCTGCCGGTCATCGCGCCCCGATAACAGCCGTCAACGCGGAGGGAGCCGGTGGCCTCCGGGGCACAGCGGCTCGCCCGGGCCGCCCCCTTTGTTTACCCTCCCGCCTCGGGAAACGAGGCGGGCGGGAGCCGGCCCCCCCCCCGCGCCCGCAGCGGCTTGTCACAGCGGCCGAGAGACGGTACCGGGCCGGGTCACCCACCCGGTCGGCGCCACGAGGCAGGCAGCGAGAGGAGGGGACAGGACGGAGGGAAGCTCGAGACCGGCAGCAAACCCCGCCCTCTGCCCGGCGGGAGGAAGGGGGCACTCGAGCCAGGCGGGCTGCCACCAGAGGCGAAGGCCCCGGCCGGAGCGGGACGGCAGCACCGCCCGCACCCCTCCCCTCCCCTTTCCTCCCCTCCCTCCGTCCGTCCGTCCGGCCCGGCGGCACTCTGCCCCGGCCCGCTGCCGGGGAATGGCCCCAAGCACTTTCAACCGCCACACAGAGACCGTCGAGAGAGGCGCCCGCCCTGGCCCTCGGCGTTCACCTGGCGCCGCGGCGCCGTGGGGCCGGATGCCTCCACAGGGGTGCCGGTGCGGTCCCCGTGTGTTTGCGGTCGGGCACCGGAACCGGCGCTGTGAGGGGATGGCGGCGGCGCGGATCCCGCTGTGCGCTCGGGAGGGCCTGAGGTGGGGTCAGTGGTGGAAGTAGCGAGGTTTAGTTCTAATCTGTTCGTGCTGCCAGCGTTTGTAGAGCAGTTTCACATAGGGTCATACATCCTGGTAATAGCGAACAGAAAGTTGTTCAATGCGGCAGCAGCTATTGCACACCAGCCCTGTTTATACAACCCGGGCTGTGCGAGTGTGCCCATAGCTCCTGCACACGGTCTCGGAAGCAGTGGGGCGCTGTGGGGAGCGCCAAACCCTAAGTTGAACCCCCCAGGGCAACGCATCTGCAGTAGCAACAACCCACAGGGAAGGGGAAGCAGCTCCCCCAGGTACGCAGGCTTGGTTGAGCGTCTCTTCGCGGCCGGAATGAGGTTGTTGCAGCCTGAGTGAAGCACAGTGTGTATCAATGTCAGACAAGAATGACGACATCTTATTAGTTGCCATGATTACTGGTGAAGTATTAATTTAGGATTAACTCGGAAGAACTTGAATTAACTAAGCAGCCTGTGGGGACAGCGTGTAAAAGAGTCACAGGAAGAAAGGAAAAGACTGGATTCATTAGCAGACTGCAGGGAAATGTATTAAGAAGCAAGACTGTAGCCATAGATTGGAAAGCACACACTTATGGATGGAGATGAAATGTTTGTGGTAAATCTGACTTTAAGTTATTAAGCTTAATGATCTCTCCAAATCTTCAATGAGATCATCTAAAGAAAGGGGTTTGAAGGTTGGGATTAAAGAAAGCCCTGTTATAAAGATGACTCAGTGCTGTGTTTTGAACAGACCGAAATCTGGAATGACCCTAGCACAATACACTGAAGCAATTAAGAAGGGGGAACAGTAGTAGGAAACCAGCTGTGTGTTTGACTAGCCAGCCACAGAGTTAAGGTTTTGTTGCAAAGAGGCCATACTATACAGAGCTGCTGTATGTATTACTTGTTACTGTTGAGTCTTTTAATTAAAATGATTACTGAGTCACTTGGGACTCACAGACGCAGAGAAAGCCTTGGTATTCACTGCTTCTATCACAAGTCGTGAAGACATTGCTGTCATATACTGCACAGATCATTTTGCACAGAAGAGCCAGGCAAGCTGAAGAGAGGTGTCTGTGAGAGAGAGGAATGCAAAGAGAAACACTCATCACTTCTGAGGTGCTGTCTGTGCTTTTGTTTTATCCTCTCATGGTGTATCTGATGTCCATTCCAGCTCTGGCTCTTATAGCTACTCACACAACTTCAAGATACAGAATAATAGAGGAAAGGCTTTGGCCTTTTCTTATCTACCTTTTGGACTGACTGGGCACGTACTGTACGCTGTTTATGATGGAAAGAATAATCAGGAACCTTACAGTTGTCAGCTCTGGCAAATATGTCTTGAGTTTTACTATGTGCACATGAAATTCCAGCCCACAGAGGTTTCCAGCTGAGGCTAATGCTGTCCGGTTGGATAACTGCTTCCAGAACCAGCCCATCAAGGATGAGCGGTCCATCAGTTCTGTCAAAGGAGGTGTGTCAGTACGAGGTGTAGATCTGTGCCTGGTGAAAGGGGGAGCAAGAAGTTCAGGCTTTGTTAAGGGATATAGAAATAGGGGGTTATGAACTCTGATCTTTTACTAACCTCTGCAAACACTATGATATAGGCACATTCATGAATTTATCAGGCTCCACTCATACACATACCTGTTGGTGTTTTGTCAGAAATCAAGAAGGGTTTGGCCTGAAGGGGTAGATGAAATGTCACTGGGATCTGAGGTGAAGATGGCAGGAAAGGAGGTATTTGACATATGCTTGTTTGAGCAATGAATGATTCATCTGTTGGATTCTGAGCTTAGAATACTAGAAGCGTAGAATCAGCTACACTGGAAAAGACCTTTAAAATCATGAAGGCCAACTCTTACCCCAGGACTGCCAAGTCCACCAGTGAACTATGTCACTGAGGGCATTTACATGGTTTTTGAACACTTCCGAGGGCAGTGATTCCACCACTTCCCTGGGCAGCCTGTTCCAATGCCTGATCACTCAGTGAAGAATTTTTTCCTAATATCCAGGCTAAGCCTCCCCTGACACAGCTTGTGGATGTGGATTGAGCTTGACTGGCTCTTGGATTCTGAGCTTTGAAGAATATAGCTATATTCAAACAACATAAGAAAAGTCTGAAGTGGACTCAGAGTTTATTCAGAGCTCATTCACCTGCTCTGCCATCGTGGATGCTCAGTCATGCATATGTTACTCCTTCATTCAGTCTGTTCATCAAGATCTCTGGTGGTGGACTCTGTTCCAAAGCCTCCTCAAGCAGGGTCTTTCTCTGATTTAAAGTATATACTTCTGGAAAGTTGTTTTGATCCATAAGCAGGATCCTTCCTTCTGCATCAAAAGCCAGTACACTTGGTCCTATCCACCATGAGCACCAGGATCAGACTGTCCCCTTAACACAGACTGCTTTTGATTTTTAAAATTCCATCTTGATCTCCTTCCTAGGTTAAACAGCATTGAAAGGCCTGCTAAAATCAAATACACAACAAATGCTGTCTGCCTCTCCAAGGGGCCTGTTACTCTGCTGTAAAAGGAAATTACATTGGTTTGGCATCAGTTTTGTTCCTGAAAAATCAGTGGTGTTCCTTATCTTCTTCTTCTTGCCTTTGAAGTCTTACAAATCAGTTGCTTGATTTTTATTTTTTTTCCTGATTTTTTTGGGGGGATCTTCCTTCTCTCCCTTTTTCCAGCAATGAATTTTGATTATCGCTTTAATTTCAGATTAAAGACGTTAGCTTCTTTTGATAACTATGAAAAAGTAAAAATAAATTAAGTGGAAAACCCCTGGGTGGATTAGCTAGTTGCTCTAATAAAGTAGTGTCCTCAAATCTCTGTCTTTGGTACTTGCATTCTCATTGCTTTAAAGGAATTCTGAAGTTCTGCCATATGTATGTCTACCGTCTAAGTAGGTTGTGTGTTTTGTGTATCAAGATGCCTCAGATAGTTGGCTGCACTGAACACATTATTTCCATGTTAGAGCTTTTAATTCAGCTCTGGTTTAAAAAAAAAAGATGTTTGAGGTATTTATTTTTTGCATGCATGGGTTCATTGTTTGGAAGCAGCATGATGTTCTATAAATATAAGTGGGATGAGTTAACACACACTGATGAGGAATTGAAGACTTTTGCTTTTTTTTGTTGTTTGGTTGGTTGGGTTTTTTCCTTGTATTTGTTTAATAAAAGCTAGGGTCCATTTTGGAAACAAAGTTATCAAACCTCTGCTTCGGTTGGTTTTTTTGGCCTTCTAAGTCATTAGGTTAATCAGCTATAATCAGTTCTACTATTGGTGTTTGAACCAGCCATGTTTACCATTTAGTAACTAATACAACCCCCCCTGTTGGCTTAATCTTTGGCAAAACTTAGCTTCAAAAGAATCCAATGGGTGGGATCAGATGAGATAAAATTTGGCAGCACACGTTTCAGGTTCACTGTATTTCCATATCCAGGAACCATGTGTCAGTTCCTGAGAGTTTCCTGTTCAGCTAAAGCATGTTCTGGCTCTGAAGCTGACGATCTTGGATGGACAAAATGCTAGGAAATCAGACTTTCTCAGTTCCTTGTGGATAGCAGCAACCCTTTTATATAGGATCAGAGGAATTTTGTGTTGGTTGGCTGGAATTTTCCTCTTGCCATGCCAGGTTGTGGTCACACTTCAACTGTGCTCTGGGGAGATAGACTGGAATCCTCTGGAATACATCCCGCTGTAGAAATGAAAGATGTTATTAACAGCAAGATTGAATATCATGAAAAAGAAAAGGCTTCCTATGTTTAGGGCTATGAGGAAACAGGATGTGAGATAATTATCCATAATTTACAGTATATAACCATATTGTTTCCTCAGCAAGAAATGGAATGGGTGTTATCCTGCCATGGAGACACCATTCTTCAATTATTACAAGAGTTCCCCTGAGCATTTTCAAATATCCTAGTAGTGAGCTGTGACCAACCACATTTATTCACAGTCTTAAGACAAAAAAATGCTTGGAGCTTTTCACACCAGCATGTAATATGTGCATACCTTGCAATTTCTAACAAAACCCAACAGTGCACTCCTTAGCAAAAACGGCCCACATTCTTTTCATGTTCCAACTTACGTGTTCGCATTTGTGGCACGGTGACCTGCCTAACCAATTTAGCACATTGGCCTTAAGCTGAACCACACTATGCAATGGTCCTCTTCACGACCCTGAAGAGCCTTACTGGTTTCCTCAAACTTGCTGCACAGGTTGTGATAAATAAGATTGAAAGTGTTGGGTGTAACTACCGCCCTTTGTCTCAGAGGAACTATAGGAGATAGATAGCTAAAAAGCCAAGTTAACCTCAAATCAAAGGCACATGCGGGCTTGAACTCTTTGAGCAAAAGGGTTTTGCTGTGGGGCTGTTTGTGTGAGAGAGTGAGAGGAGGATGGAAGGGGGCAGGGTTAACCAGTAACACCAAGAGCAAACTCAAGAGTACAGCTGAAATAGTGAGGGGAGCCGAGTCTTTTATATTTGTGCAAATAACCAGAATAAAGAAAAATACAATGAAACATTCCTAATTCCTCTATCAACCTCTTCTCACACTGAGCTGTTGGATTGCTGCTAGCCACCTGGTTCTATCAAATGGTGTAATGGTGCATAACATATCTGAGTCAGACATACATGTGCTTCACGAATGCCTAGGACAAACCTGGCATGAAACACTTACACAAGCCATACACTGTAAAGGTGCAGTGTGTACTAGGTGCTGGTGGCACTGTGAACTGTAGCTGGGGATTGGGTATTTCAGGCTGTAACTGTGATAATGATTGCTTTCAGATATTGCCCGGGAATGTGCTACATGATTGCAGCTGCATAGGTCACTCTTCAAGAAACCCTGCAGTCTCAAATGACCAAGGAATGGCAGAGAACCCAGTATCCATTTCTGCTCTTTCATACTCTCCTTTCTAAATGTACTAGTTTATGTTTTGTATTTCTAATTTCTTGATTTTTTTTTTAGCATTAATCTCTGCATTATTTGCTTAATTAATATGTGATTAGTGTTTTCAAGCTACATAATGCCCTTATGGTTATAATTTAATATTATATAAATAGGCAGCTTGGCAAGACTCAGCTTTTGATACCTCCTTCTCAGCCAACACTGAAAGGGTTTCTGCTTCTCAGTCTCAAGCCCATGCCTGCTGTAGATTCAGCCATCTATTTTTGAAACTCTTCAATCCTCTCGATATAGAAAGCATATACATTAAAATAATGTATACTTTTCCCATGTGGCAATAGGAAGAAGAACATTTAAAATTATATCTTTCCTTTCTTTTTGATGTAGGAATAAACCCATTAATATTCTTGATTTAATGTGCCATCCTTGGAAGTGATGTCCCATCTCTGGCAGTGTTCAAAGGCTCAAAGGGGCTTTGAACAACCTGGTCTAGTGTAAGGTGTCCCTGCCCATGGCAGGGGAGTTGGAACTAAGTGATTATTAAAGTACCTTCCAACCCAAACTATCCTGTAATTCTCTGATTAATGAGGAGGTGGATAAATTGCACCTTTCTGGTTAGTTCACAGTGTTTCAGCTAAAGGAATTGTTAACTGCAAATTCTTCCTGTCTTTATTTTGAACAGGTAATAAACTAGGCATACCGGGTTGTATTGAAGAACTGAAAGAACCCTACAAAAAGGAGCCTTTCTAAGGCCTGTCACAAAGGAGCATTGATTGGTGTTTTGTTATTTGCGTGTTGACTCCTAATTTGTACCATGCAGCTGGACTCTGTAGATGGAGGTACTGCTGCCCCTATTGCATGCCACAACTCTCTTACATCAATGAACTTACGAAACAGTGTTCCTTCCCTATCTTTTTTAATTCTTTCTGTTTACCCTGAGGGGTGAAAACCTCTCATCTATCAAGAGCTTATGAAATCTGAATCATACTGGGGAATACTATAAAACTGCATTTTAATAGATTTGTTTCATGGGAATCAATACTTTTGTACTCCTATGAATATCTAAAAGTTTTTAGTTTTTAAGCAGACGCAAAAGGTCCATTAGTTGATTTTTTACATGCTAGATAAGGGCAGAATGATTTGTCTGATCTTCCTTATTTGACCTGAAAAGGTTAGGAGCATTCTTTGGCCTTTGCTGGTTCTGCGATGGAAGAGCCCCATATATTTAATTTAAAATGCTGAATCTTTGGCGCAGACTTACTTTCTCCAAAGTATTGACTAACTATTACAGTGAATCAATAAAAAACAATAAAAATCTGGCTTGAAATCTTTTTTTTCCTTAGTTACCCAGCATTTTGAGACTTGCAGCACCATTTGCCCTTCCTTGAGTTTTTAAATACACCAGACTTCTCAAAATTCCCTCTAGTTGCTGTTCCCCCTGTTGAGGAATTCTGAGTAACTCTGGTTTAGCAATGGTGGCAACTGGAGGATGAACAGGAGTCTCTGAAATGGAACTTACCATGCCGTCTAGTTGTGATCCAAGAGAAGTTAAAGAATATGATGCAGAACAGTGTCTCCCAGGAAACATCTGTCTTCTGTTCATACCAAGAGAAATTACCTTCCCCTTCTGTCTAAGCTGTCTTTCTCCTGAAGGTTTGCATTTCAGGAAAAACAAATAACAAATCACAACAAATAACAAATAAATCCCAAACTGATGGTTCTGGATGTCAGTACATTGTGTGATTTGAGACATTAATTCTGCTGCCTGCTGTAAGGCACTACCCATCAGCAAAAGGGAAAAGCAGATAACTAGAGATAGTAATACCCTATTGGATTGCTTCACTTGAGTTAACCAAGCTTGTCTGGAAATACTCAGAGTGGGGAAGAGATGGTCCACATTCACTTTAGATAGTGCTGGTAGAGTTGATGAGGTAGTAACAAGGAAAGGTGATTCTACTTGATTGTTTCTATTTTGAGATAGCTTATTTCATCTTTTCAGTAAGTTTAAGTCTGCCAAATCTGTTTGTTGATCCTCTGTGTTGGCTGCATGGGATTTCTTCAGAGAAAGCAGGAAACAGAAATGTAGTTCAGTGTCACACAAGTTGGAAGAGGAGTTGCTGTGAGGCAGCGCCCTCAGGGGCTGGGCACCTTCTCGGGGCACTTCCAGACCATTTCGTCTATTAACTTCTATTAACTAGTTTTATAGTTGTGTGTGTTTCCTTAAATGCATTCTTTAAATGCATTCAGCAAATGTCATGTCCTGAACACCACAGGCAATAATCCAAGTGACTAAAATAAGAATAAAATTTGGCCGTAACCTGTAAAAAAATCATTTCAGACTTCAGACTATTTGCTGTATAGCTCACATGAATTACATCAGTGCCAACACCACTGACATCAGCTTTTCCAAACAGTCATTTAGCTTTGTATTATTATCAAATACTTTACGTTGATAACATAATTTGGACGTTAGTGATTTACTGCACCCAAACTGGGCTATGTTATTACAGTCCCTAAGCAGTAATCCCCAGCTGATCACCCAGAAACAGCAATAGAGTCACCCATGAGGTTGCTGGCTAATGGTCCAGTACAAACTGAAGTGCTGCTAGCTATCTGATAAACACATTTTTCATAGCAGACTTGCTAATACAGGCATCACTATAAAGAACATCCCTAAATGATATATAATACTGCTGGTATATTTTTAGTGCATAATAATCTTTTTACCCAAAGCAAAAATTAAGCAGCCACTCTACTAAAAGTACACCTCATTTAATATACTCTAAGAATAATAGTACAGCATGTTCAAAAGTCTGTTGAAATAAATAATTTCTGGCACTTCCCCCAAAATAACACTTCAACGAGCCTCTGCCTGTCTGCATCTGCTCGGGTTGATATTATAGAAAAGGCAGCTAGGTGGAGGAGTTGTTAATGTTATGGTGCTCAAGCTAATGCAGCCTCTGTCAGGGCTGGACTGGAGGAGGTGCTGAGCTTCATGCACGTTGAAGAGTTTTGTTGAGTCGCTGAGATTACTCGCGGGATGTGAAATTAAGCACAAATGTAATTGTTTCCTAGGTCCATCATCGCATGCCTCGGGTTTTTCTTTGGCTGCTTTGGTTTATGTTTTTTTCTCCTATGGTTACATTTTAATAGTTAAGGTAGGATTTTTTTTTTCCAGCAGGGCTTTTTCCGCCCAAAGTTTCTTAGTCCTTTGAGTTTAAAATGTTAAAAGAAAATCTAACCAAAGCTGTAAGCACCTGCACACCTGTAAATAATAATTAAAAAGAATGAAGTAACCTTCCCAAT